AACTTGGGCTTATGGATGTTACCATTCTCAGATTTCAACAACAAAGGCCCCCTACCTACTGTTTTTACCTCTTATTTTCCATAGTTTCTTGTGACAAGACAAGGGAACATCAGAAGCTTGCTCTCTTGATGCCATCCTTCCTAGAGGCATCAACTACTACCTCTCTGATTATGAAATAGTACATCGTACTCATTGGAGAAGTTTTTAAGAGGAAGAGGAAAACACTTTATAATCTCAACACCCAAAGTAACCTAGGCTTTGGACACATGTTTCCACTTAAATGCCTAAGGTATTTCTAACTTAACATATCCACAACAGAACCCCTAGATCCCCCAACTTCCCAACTACACCTCATAGTATGCAAATGAGTGACAACTGAATAGGAAATCTGAAGACAGGGTTCCTGCCAGTATTTTATAAAGGCATAAAAATGCTGTATAACCATAGCAATTTTAGCAATAATTTATAGCAGTTCTCAATGGCACATTTACAAACACCATTTTTTCAGATATAATAAGTATTTACCCAAAAAAAAGCTGACAGCTCAGAGAAAGTTCTTTTAAACCTGGATTAATCTACATAGCCCCTCCTCTGTCATGAAATCAGTTTGTTGTTCTGTACCCATGTTAGGAAGCATTGAGATAATGGAAAGTAGACTTTCTGTTTCTTGTGTCAACATCCTTTGATTTATTCTCCCATAATGTGTAATACAGATGAATCAGGAAGATATGAGGAGAGTAATGTTCAGATAGACACATGGCAGTTTTTCAAAAAGAAACAGCACCTCAGTTAATCCTCCAAAAAGCACCAATTATATTAAAAACATAGAAAAGTTTTCCTAATCTTGTATGCTAGCTCACATGATGGCATAATTTTTTCACAAATGGTTCAGTCTTATAAATGATCAAAAACCCAATGTTGATACATTCTTATCAGCTTTTTTTTTAAACGAAAACATTCCTAGGTGTTCCCCGATCCTGATGACAATGAGTTATATTATACACAGAAATCTGCCAAGTGTCTCCAAAGTCATACTGAGAAAATTAATTAAAAATACATATGTATACATGTGTATGTATATGGGTGTACATGTACACATACTTATACACACAAATATATAAATATTGAAAGATTTTGTTATTTTAACCAATTACCTAAGATGTTATCAAGACTAGTTTGAGTAAAAGTGATTGCATGTGCATTGCCACATTTGTGTGAAATTTGATTTTTCTCCCTGAAAACTGTATCCAGTGAAACAAGCTGGAAATGCTTTTTCCATGTATTACCTTATCCATCTGTTTCTCCTATTTTAACAGACTGGTACATGGCCTGGTGCAGTCATGCTTTTGAATGTTTAAAAACATTCTTCCTCAGCACGAGGTCCTCATCTTAGGATTTTTATAGTTGGATGAACTTGAGTGTTAGTGAATTTCAGACCTGGAAAGAAATGCCAAAGCAGCTTACCATATATGGTTCAGAAAGCTGTTGCTGAAAGTGGGGAGGCATCTTTTTAATACATCTTCCCAAAATAAGTAGTATTTAATTTCAAATTGATACCAGGTGCAGAATCATTTTCAGCTGTCTTGACTGAAGTGCATCAATGTATGTAAGACCTTAATGCGATATATACCAAGTACCCTATATCCACCTCACTAAAAAAATAAAAGGTCAAGATGTTTGGAGTCAGGTACTAGGGAGAGTTGTCCTTTTACAGAAGTGAAATTGTTTCTGCTTACTGTGGGGGTGACTACTTTCTCGGTGCTGCTCTGGGTTCCTGGAGTGCCTGCTGGCCAAATAACATATGCTATAGAGTGCTACCCGGGGAACTCTGGAAATCTCACCAAGGGGAAAAACTCACTTTGGCCTCCTTAGGATTATAGGGTAAGGCTAGGATATAACCCTGGTAGTTGCAGGAAAAGAAATTCTTAGAAAGCGGTCATATCTGCTATTAATTTTTTCTTTTGTTAAACATATCCAGGGCTCGTTCAAATTGGGTTTTAAAGACAACATAGAAAATTCTTTGATAACAAGAAAAAAGGGGCACAAGTATCCACAGGGATAGTTCCTTCTGGGCTTTTTTCATTATTTTCCGAGGTTGAGCTTGGCTGCCTATTCACATTCTCTTGGCACTTCTCCTTTTAGTGTGGCTTCAGCCAGACAACTCTGCTGAAGTTGCTTTAAGGTTTTCACGTTCTTGTCCTCCCATTAGCCATATTTGGTAGTGTTGATCTCCTTGCCTTTGCAAAATTTCTGCCATTAGCTCTCGAAGCCACTGGTGTCATGGTGCTTTGATCTTTCTGCTCAACCCCCTCTCACTCTTTCTCAGATCCCTCGCTTTGCTCTTGGTCTTCTTGTGTGGATGTCACAATAATGGCTGGCATTCCTCACGTTTCTAGTGCCAGCCACTGGGTGAAGTAACTTAAAAGTATATGTCATTTTGTCTTTAACAGTTTGAACTATTTTAATCCCTGTTTTACAGATAGGGTAACTGAGGCATCATCATTAATTCATTTATACACAAAAGAAGAAAAGATAATTCTAAGACCTTTCTATTTATCAAGGTCTTTATCTTTTTTTTTTTGTTTGTTTTGTTTTCTTTAAGATTTTATGTATTTGTCAGAGAGAATGAGAGCAAGCACAAGCAGGGAGAGCAGCAGACAGAGGGAGAAGCAGGCTCCCTGCTGAGCGAAGAGCCTGATGCAGGACTTCATCCCAGGACCCTGGGATCATGACCTGAGCTGAAGGCAGACGCTTAATGCACTGAGCCACACAGGCGCCCCAATTTATTCAGTTAAAAAAAAACTGTCCAGAGTCCCTTTGGTACTTAAAACTAATTCAAGACTTACATTTGCAAAACCTCGGGTAGCCTTTCATTAGCTAGAATTGAATCAGAAAGAGCAAGACCTAAAGGCTTGATTAAAAACGGGAAACAAATTTTCCAAATAGAATATGGAGTGTGTAACATTCTTCTTCTACAGAGGTGTTTCCATTTCCCCTGTATCTCATCTGAATTACATCGCTATCTCTTAAAGCCAAATCTTGTGATTTAACCTGTCCTCAGCCTCGTGACTACTGTCACTTTATTGTAGTGTTCAGTCTGCTCTTTGCCATTTGTGGCTGAGAGATTGCTTCATAAAATGTTCTTATTTCATTGTGTTTTGTCTCCCCCAAGTAGCTTATATGATTTTGGGGTTCAGGTATTATGTCGTATTTCTTTGGTAAACCCCTCAGATACCTTGTGGAGTGCTTATGATCTCTGATTTATACATCTAGAAGATCTATAATGTAGTGGGGTAACTCCTTAATTATCAGAGAGTAAGAGTTAATGGACATTATTAGATTTTAACTGCTTCACTGCAAGGCAGTGAATTCATTTCAAGTGAATGGCCCTGATTGCAGTGGTTAGAGAAGGGAACCTGACCTCAGTGTCTACTGAAGGAGGGCCCCTTTGCTTGAAAAACTTTTAATGAAAAAGATGAGTGATAGAATTCAGTTGACTTTTATTTAAACTCTAGCCCATATACTCTTCAGATTGGTGTCTACCACACCAGTTGCCAAGGTGGAAATAGAAATGGTTTTTCATGCAAGGTTGGTGGTTTGCAAAAGCAGTATTGATGATAAAGCCCAGAAATAGGACATTCATACTGGTATAATTTCCAGATTGGCTCCCAAATGTAGGAATCGAGAAAAAGAGAATTTTGATATAACAGCGGACTTAATGTGCTTGTAGTCCCCGTTAGGTCTACTGTTTTCTGGAAAAACACATATCAAAAATAGAGCATGTGACTGTTTTTGATTCTTCTATGAATAACGATCTCTTCAGAGACATAAAAAGAACTTTAGTACAGAGCCACATGCACTCATCCTAAAATTAAACAATAATTTCCTAATTTTAAGAACTTTTTATTTGAAACAGAAACCAGTCTTTAGAGCTGAAAACTTTAGGAACAAGTAGGATTGTGCTTTTTGCCAGTCAACACTTGGAAGGTGTATATGAAACACTGGCTGATGCTGGGCTTACTCCCCTAAGAGTATACTTTTCACTAGGAAGGTAGAAAGACTTGTTGGCTAGATGTTAGAAACTGAACATAGGCCTGTTCAAAATGGTAGCTTAAAACCATGTTTAGGGTTCTCACTGATGGAATATACCAGTAAGAGAGTACAGAAGAAAGGAAGAACACCATTTGTATGAATGCAAATAAAGGTTGGGAATCTACCTCCAGATCTCTAGATCTTGCCCAATTGGATTCATTCCACTTGCTTACTTTCAAGTTCTTTATTTGGAACTGGCCAGCACCTTCACAATTCTATTTTTATTTATAATTTTAGCAGCCTCTAGTTAATGTTCCAGAGCAGTGCCTTTCAAAGTCTTTTGACTGCAATCCACAGTAAGAAGTACATTTTGCATAACTATTGAATATATGATATGCATGTCTGATGATTTCCACTTAAAAAAATGCTGGTTGTGACTCATTAATTTCAGATCCCATTAATGAGTTAATACCTGCAGTAGAACAAATGGCCTAAGATTCTGGTATTGCTGCATATATCACTAATCTTTTAATTTCTTCATAGCGTTTCCTCTTTCTCTTCTAGATCTAGGAGCTCAGGATGCTATTTCTTAATTTGTTGGAGACATTACAGTTTCAACTTCTGCTTTAAAACCTGGAGCATGTAAAGTGTTCCTAAGCCTGCCGTGGTCTCATTTTCCTAGTACTTAAAGGTGTTTACTTTGTGTCTGGCACCCTCACTTTTCTAAGGCCTCAGGCCTTTCAGAATAAAGGATGAAGAGGAAGCAGTTGAAGGGAAAAAAAAATGTTTTGAAATAATAACCCCACTTCTGCTTATAGGAAATAATTGAAGTAGGAATTCCATTCTTTTTGGAAACATAGCTGGCTGAATTGCTGCAGTGGAAAGGTTATAGACTTATTATTAACTTCCTGAAATGGAACATAAGAAGTACAAACATGCTTTCAAATGTGTTTAAGAAAATACAGAAGTTTCTTAAATCAGGTTGTGTTTATTAAAAGCAGAATACAAAATACCTTGGGATTCAAAGGTTGCCTCTTACAAAATTTATTCCCTAACAGATTCTGAATAAAACAATTAATCATTTCAAGGGAGGTAACAAAAGTTTTAACAATGATACATCTGGTTGCAGGCTGAGTTTATTCAAGCTCTGAGACCTCAATTTGTTCCTCCAAATTTTCAGCCATTAATAGCCCAAAACGATTGCTTCCCTCATAACAGCATCTAGTGTCTGAGGTGGTTCCCATTCTGTTCTTTGACCAGCTGGTACCATGTTTCTTTTGTCTTCTTTTTTTTGAATTTGATTTACCCTTTGGAAGGAATAATTCAGCAGGGGCATATGACCTTATGGCATTGAACAGATGTTCGTATAGTTGCTTTGCCTCAGGGCACATGCTCAGGAGACTTTCCACAGAAGTTGATGTTAGCAGTTGTCGGCATAGTCCATGCACCAGGCTTCCACTATACAGTCTGTTCAACGGGAGAGAAAAACAGAGTGTTGGTAAAGCATAGGTTCATTGCAGCGATAATGGTCATTAACATGGCTTCAACAAATGCAGCTAAACAATGAGAACTCTTCTTGCTTCTTTATTATTAAAATAACTTAAAAAAAATACAAAAACTCTGTTCCTTGAAGGAAGATCTGAGTTGTTATTACAAACTTGGCTGGTGATACTTAAAAACTTTTTACCAACAAATGATAGATGCTTGCTGGGTCTGCAACTAGCCAAAAGTTGAGCAGGCCTCTTAACACTTCAAAGAAAAGGAATTAAAAATGTCTGATAAACCAAACAGGCAGTCTGTTGAAATATGAGAAAATTTAGTGGCAGCACTTGCAAGTTCACTGATTCACTTGCACTGAAAACCTACTTCAGAAATACAAGATGGGATTAACTGGAAGCCACAAATTTAATATATAACTTAATGTCAGAGTTGATTCACTGGTGCCTTAGCAACTGATCAGTGTAAGATCATCATTTAATAAACTCTAGTAATGCTGAGATGCAAGAAGAGTCCTGCTGAAATCATCATGAGGAGAACTGTTTGGTCCTGTTTTTCTCTGTTCTGTTGTAAAGGGATATATGGTAGCTAGAGAGGATCCAGTCAAGAATGACCTAAATTATTTAAGGAAAGGGCATAAAGAATCCACAAGTCAAAGTCCAATTAATCTTACTGGTAGAAGGTTCTAGGAGTAGCTCAGCTATTAGGATCTATTAACACTATTAACACTAGGGATCTATTAACACTATTTACTGTTTAGGAAGCTTTAGACCTTAAAACATTTGAAGTCATACCAGTATATTTTATACACCTCCATTCATGTATCACTCAATTTATTTGACAAATATTTGAGTACTTACTATATGTTAGGCCCTGGGGCTACAAAAGTAAATAAAATAGCTAAGTCTCTGTCCTCACAGACCTTACATTCAAGTGGGGAGAGACAAAGCACATCTATAATCCCAGCTCCATTTGCTAACAATCTCCCCTTTATCTTCCTCTCTCCCTCTGGGATCTCCTGGATGGACAATCACCAGGATGTCCCAATCCAGTGAATGTAGCACTTTTTCACTGGCCCACACCCTACTGCTATCCTTTCTTTCTTACCCAGCTTCAACTCCATAGTCCAACACATCATCACTTCCTGGCATACAGGTTGCCTCTCCCTTCTTCATACTTACCTGGCAAAACAAAAACCCTAGATAAAGTTCACTGAAGCATCTTAGTCATCTCACTAGAATTAAAAAGCTCCATGACAACAGAGATTTTAAAAAATTTGTTTTGTTCACTACACTCTAGCACACGGGCTTAATAAATATTTGAACGAATATGTGAACAGTTTGCCAAGTAGTAAGAAATGCAATTTACAAAAGTCCAAAAGAGTAATAGGACTAGAGTGACTGGAAGTAGAGAATAATATCCCAGAACGGTAATCAGAAGAAGCTTCTATAAAGTGATATTTGAACAAAGACCTGAGAGAAATGAAGGAACAACTTATATCCTACCAACTGCCTCTTTTCTTACTTTACGGGGCAGTTTTTAAATCTTTGATCTAATCATGGGTACTTTTTGGGAGTATGGAACAAAATTAATATTTCTCCTTTTTCCAGCTCTTTAGCTATAATGGTGATCCAAGACCAATTATACTAAGATTAATTTTTAAAACATAACTTACGTGCTTTAAGTATAAATAAAAGTATTTACTTCTGTGTGCAGCCATCTGAACTAGTTTCCCGTGGTGCTTACCGAGTTAGGTCTGGTTCCGGGAGAGGAGTGGACAGCAGCTGATTGAGATACATCCCCATCTGCAGACAGCACTGCCACTGACAGAAGATGTGAGCTGTGTCTAAGTCCAGTCTCGTGCCCGGCCGTGTCTGCTCCTTCACTCTCTGGAACTCTTCATACAACATCCTAGCACCAACCTCCCGCAGCTCTTCCTTATCTAGACAAAGAAACAACCCAAGGGCAGTATTTCCAAAAACACTGTATAGCTTGTAATTTTCTCTATATACAGAACTTTGAATTCCATAAAGAAAAAAAAAATTAGTTTAAATAACCAAAATGCTTTTCTCTTCTGGCTCTTTACTATTTTAACATCAGTGTAAAAGCCTTGCTGTATAAATTGAAATATTTATACTGAAATGCCTTTTTAATGATGACCTAACTATTCAACCCCAAATTATTTATTTTTTTTCCCTTAAAATAACATCTCTTCCACTGGTTTACTACCTAACCTTAAACACCTCTGCATCTGAACTCTCCAAACCCTAAATCTGTCTCTCTGAAAAATACAAATTACTATTAAACGTAATTCTCTTCACTGTTCTTGTTCACTAAATTTCCTTCTATGGAGGCCTGCCTCTATGCTACAGTGCACTTAACACAGCCTCTGTGTTCAAAGCACACTAACTTCTGCTTTGTGGGAGGAAAACAAAAGCATGACTCAAGGAGAATATGGTCAGTCATCTACATCACACAGTAGAGGATAAGAGGCAAGAAGCAACAACCCTAGGCAAGGAAGAGTGCTCTGTGTGTTCAACTGTAAGCTTCTGCACGTTTGCTTGTGTGGGGGCGTGCAAAATGACACTGGACCAACTTGAAAGTAATAAAAAGGAGGCCCACCTTTTACCAATTAGCGAGCAGCAAGGCACTGAGCCTGCCTGGGTGCAGGGTCCACAATTCCTAAAAGAAAAGAAACAGACCCTTGACGTGCCCCTTCTGCTGGACTCAGGTAAAAACTCACAGGCTTGTGCCCTGAGAATGTTCTTAAATGACAGAAAACCAACAGTGGGCCTTAACTTGTTTTGCATTAAGTTGGCTGTCCTAAAACAACAACAGTCTCTTCTGACAACAACTCTCACACTTGGGAGTCCTGGAATCTAGACTGATTCATTCTCATTTAACTTATTTTTAAAAGTAAACTCCAGTGTAGCACTGTCCACCAGAACTTTCAGCAACGATGAACTGTTCTGGATCTGTGCTGTCGAATTCAGCCTGTAGCCATATGTGGCTACTGAGCACTTAAATGTGCCTGGTTGTCAAGGAGAAGCTGGTGTTGTTTTTTTTTTTTTTTAAAGATTTATTTATTTATTTGACAGACAGAGATCACAAGTAGGCAGAGAGAGAGGAGGAAGCAGGCTCCCTGCTGAGCAGAGAGCCCGATGCGGGGCTCGATCCCAGGACCCTGAGATCATGACCTGAGCTGAAGGCAGAGGCTTTAACCCACTGAGCCACCCAGGCACCCCAAGGAGAAGCTGGTTTTAATTTAAATAGCCACATGTGACTAGTGGCCATTAGATTAGATATTAGCACTGTTCTGGAGTGTGATAATGATTATACATGTTTAGATAAAGTGTTAACAGCATTCATAATCTTTTAAAGGGAGTAATTCCACTGGAGAATTGAAGTGCTTCAATGCATTCTCACTTATTTCACCTGATACTTAAATGCAGTTGAAACTGCCTTAAAGTGTATTTCTGTAATAGAAAAGTTACTATTTCTAGCATCACTAACACACTAATTGAAACTTACAGTGGAGAAGAAATAATAAAACAGCACAAGCATGAATGTTTATTATGACTGTAGGTATTCAGAAGTTTCACCGACCAGACTATTTTAAATCCATTTCTAGTGATGATGTTGCCGCTGTATTGATAGGGCCAGGTTACACGGAAGACAGAATGTAACTGGCACATTATACATTCTGACTTCAGAGATTAAAGCATTAGGTGCCACAGAGCAGGTGGGATTCCGCAGTATCAGCACATCCTAACTGCTGGGCCGTTGTCAAGCTGTGTAGCACAGAGCCTGGCACATACAAGTGCTCAGAAACATCTGCCAATGAATGGATGATACTTTAGTCCCTCTATTCCTAAGTTTTGGATATAACTGATGTGAGGGAATAATCCAAGAATATTTTTTCGCTTGTTTAAACTTGTATTACATGCAAGTAACATGCAAATATTTACTCCTGGAATTTCCAGATACCTACCAGGGCTGGTTATTATGGCATGCAAGGGCCCCATCAGCATCCCTAGCAGTAAGGCCTGGAGGTGATGCAGCTTTGCCTTGGACTCTGTGTGCTGCAACCAGTAGCAACTGACAGAAATGGGCAGCTTCAGTGAAGAAGGAATTGGTTCCAGGATGGTCTGTTTCACCTTCAGGGTGTCTAACAGAAGTATCTGCCGTTTGGCCAAGGAGAGCTGAAAATACATACCAAACATCCTGCAAGTTACTTTGGGAATGTCTTTATTGTTTTTCTAGTATGAAAACACTTTAATGCAAATGTATTGCTCTGTCAGTTTCTTATCTTCCTGGGGAAAGAAATCAGCCACCGGGTGCTTAATAAATATGGTTGTATGGATATATTGTCTACCCTCACTACACAGCCCTTACTCATGTCATTCTATCTTCTATGTCGGCTGGTGAACATCTTCAGTGGATATATCACTTGGGAAGCTTGTTAAAAAATTCAGTTTTCAGGTCCCAGCCCCTAAATTTTGATTCAATAAATCTGAGAGGAACCCAGGAATCTGCATTTTAACTATTCTGCTTTGAGAAACAAAGATCTATATTTAGCCCTACTCTTACTTGCCAGTGAATATTCAGTCCCCACCTTCTTCATGATGCCATTACCGATCACCTCTAGAAGGCAAACTTAGATTTTATGTACCCTTTGTGGCATATCAGACAAGCTTCTGTTTGTTTGGGTCCTGTCTCCTGTCCCTGCCCAGGTGAATGTTTTATTATCTTTTTGTTTTCCCACACAGGGACTGTTGCAGGGTAGCTGCTTGTAGGTGAGACATATAGTCAAGGGAGATGGGAATATTTAAGGAGTACCTCACCGCTTGCAGTAACACACCACACTCACTTCTACGCCATGTGTTAGAGTGCCCTTCAAATAAAAGGGAGTTAACAGCTATGAGGATTTCAGACTTCTTGAAATAACTTTACCTTAATGGATCTTAAGAACCATAAGGGACCTTCTAGGTCACATACTTCTAAAATAAGGACATTAGGACTATTAAAAGGGCACCTTCAGAAGAACTTTATGATCAAACTTAGAGAAAAAAACCGTTGTATTCCTAGTGTCAACGTGCAGCCAGAAAAGTATTTTTCTTAACTTTCTGAAAGGATGAAAATTGCTCAGCATCTTAAAAACAGGTTTGTCATCAGTGTGTTGACAGCTGGGAATGGACATGTTAACCTTGAAATACAACACATCATAATTGACAAAATCGTTTCATCACTGATGCAGAGAGTATTAAATATAATTTATAAACATGGGTTTAAGATTTTGATACTGGTAAACTTCTTAAAATTAGAACTATGCAAAATGCTCTACAGTGTAATCAATCACTCTTATGGGAAGTAGCGATTAATAAACAAAAACTCTATGATCTCAATGGGTAGGAAAATGCACCAAGTAAAGCTAAGGAAATACATGAATTCTTTTCTGACCTATAACTGCTCTGCTCATAGCCCTTAAATCTGGTTAACTTTTATCCCATGTGACAAGTCTGAAAGCACAAGCCTGTAGAAAATCCTACAGAGAAACAGAGACACCCAGAGAGAGGCTGGTCCTGGCACTGTCTTACTCCCAGAGAATAGTCCACTTCCATCTCACCTTATGATTAACCTCCCATTGCTTAGCTTGAGTGGAGCTCTATCCACTGCAACTAACATAACCAAAATGGAAACTATGTGGTTACTGTGGGAATTAAGTAACTATAAAGTTTCTATTACAACAGCTGGCACAAAGCAGATAACTGTCACAAAATTTCTATTCATATTGTGCATTTGTCTTTGGAATCACATTTGCACCTGATACCATTTAGAATTATCATGGGCTAATGAGAGTTAGCAATAATGAGCTAAGTGCAGAACTGATGAGTTTATGCCTAGGGAAAGCTAAAAGATCTCACCATACAGAAAGTGAACTTAAAATTTTACCCTGTTTTGAATATAGGTAAGTGATGAGAACACTTATCATCTCCACTTAGCAAGAAGGATAATCAGCATGCTACACTCACTGGCTCAACTGGATTTTTATATGGGGGAAAATGTGCCCTGATCCTTATGTCACACCATACACAGAAAAATCAGTTGCAGACAGATCATAGACCTAAATATGAAAGGCAAAAAAAAAAAAGTCATGACCTTGAAGTAGACTAATTTTCTAAGTAGGTCACGGAAGTGATAATCATAAATAATAAATTTAAGCTGGACTATATTAAGAACTTCTGTTCATCAAAACATATTAGAATGAAAAGAACCTACAGAATTTGAGAATCTGTTTACATGTTATTTGACACAGGACACATATACAGAAATAAAAAGCCAAAAGAAAAATGGGCAAAAGACTTTGAACAAAAAATTATGTAACAATACCCAAATGGCCAATTGACACATAAAAGGTGCTCAAAAATAAGTCATCAGAAAAATGCAAATTTAACATCCACCAAATTGGCTAAAATGATGCCACCATACAAACATCAGAATAGCTAAAACTTAAAGGATAAAAAACACAAAGTGTCAGGAGAGGTGTAAATTAAGAGGAACCCTCATAAACTGCTGGTGGGAATTAATTGGTTAAACCACCTTGGAAGTCCATTTGACAATCTGTCTTATAAACTGAACACACGCATATCTTCTAACAATTCCACTCCTAGTGGTATATGCAATAGAAATGTGTCCCTATTTTCAGCAAATGATGTGCACCAGAATGCTCATAGCCCTATTCATAATTGCCCAAACTGCAAACTACCCAAATGCCCATCAACTGCAAAATGGAAAAATCAATTGTGGTATATTCCCACACAGCTATGAGATATAAATGATCAAGAGCTTCCCACAGTGATGTGAGTCTCATAAACATCAAGTGAAAAAAAGAAGCCCAATGAGAGAATTCCTATTCTATGATCCCATTTTTATAAGATAAAAAAAGTTAAAACTTTTCAATGTTATTACAGGTCTGGATAGTGATTACCAGAGAGGGGAGAGAGGGGCTGCTCAAACCAGACATTAGGCAAAACTACTGGGGTGCTGATGAACGTTCTTTACAGGGTAGCGTTGATTGGTAACAATTCATCAGGCTGTACAATCGTCTGTGTACTTTGCTCTGTGTACACACTCAGGGAGGGATGAACTGCAAAGTGGCAAGGGGAAACTTTTAGGATTGTGTCATACATTCATTATTTTAGTTTGCAAGATGGATTCACAGATGGAAACACACTTTAAATATGGGCACTTCCCTGTACAGCACTTCTCAATAAAGCCATAAAAAAGTTTTAAAAACTCTCCATCACAGCACCATTTATGTTGTGAGGAGAAATGTAATTTTAGCAAAATATCATCATTTAGAATGTTGCTAATTTGCTCATATGGGAAAAGTTTTAATAAATCCCTTCTGTTTGGAATTTGACCTATGCTCAACTTTCTACTTCTGTCACCCTGGAAATGTGATAAAGTTAGTTTTAACTTAGCATGGTAAAAATAACTCTTGTAAAATTGCATCTAGGTTTGTATAAGTGAACTGTAAACCCAAATGAGGACATCATATCGTGGGGCTTCCTTGAGCATAGTGACCTATAATTAGGCATGGCCCTTGCAGGGGGCCCGGAAGCTATGTTTATGGAATTGTTACAAAAAAGGAGGGGGAAGGAGGCCAGTGAGACCTTTTCTTTTTTTGAGATATAATTCACATGTTATAAATTCACTCTTCTATTTACTTTTATTTATTTATAATTTTACTTTTATTATGTTCAGTTAGCCACTGTATAGTACAGCATTAGTTTTTCATGTAGTGTTCAATGATTCATTAGTTGCATATAACAACCAGTCCTCATCACATGTGCCCTCCTTAATGCCCTCACCCTGTTACTTTACTCCCCAACCCCCCCCCCGCAATTTTAATATATTTATAAGCTTGTGCAAGCATCACTAATTCCAGAACATTTCAGCACCCCTTAAAGAAACACATCACATGAACAGTCATTCCTCATTGCTAAGGAGGCACTGATACCCACCTGATGTGGATCTCATTTCCTCGTGCCTGAGCAGGCACTAATGGGGAAATTAAAGAATTTAGTGCCTAGCCAACAGTGTAGGCCAGCTACTGGCATTGCTACATTTCAGTCTGGATAATGCCTTGTTCCTGGGAGGGGCTGTCTGGTGCATTTTAAGATGTTTAGCAGCATGCTTGGCCCCTTCCCACTGATGCCAGTAGCAACACTCCTCCTTCCCCTAACTACCTAGGTAGTGATAATCAAAAGTGTCTCCAGACACTGCCAAATGTCCCCTGTGGGAGGTAGGAGGACAAATCATCCCACTGGAGAACCAGTGGTGTAGACTGTTGGAAAAACTCCCACAGGAAAGGAAAGCCTGATTCAAACCTGCTGGGAAGCTATGGTTGCTGTCCTATAGGCTTGAGTAGACTGGTACCAGGAATGGTCTATGAGAGTCTCATGAATCTGAACATTAGTTGAATTTAAGAAAACTCTCATTGCCACTACAATTGGCATTTTAAGTTTATCTGCACTTAACTGTAACTTTGTGTTAGCATAAGCAGTTTCATACTTATTTATAATTTTTTGAGAGGGAGAGTGAGCCCAAGGAAAGGTGTGAGGGGGAGGGGCAGGCTCCATGTGCAGCGCAGAGCCCTTCTTGGGGCTCGATCTCAGGACCCTGAGATCATCACCTGGGCTGAAATCAAGAGCCAGATGCTTAACTGAGTCACCTAGTTGGCCCTCTATTTATAATTTTTAATATATTTATGTAATATTACAAACAATAAACACTGGGATCCATAAATTATTTTTTATTTTGAAAAGTGGATTGCTCAGAGTGTTACTCAGGTTTAAACAACACTGAGTTAGGCTAAGAGTCATATTTTCAATATCAAACTAATCATTATGATGTCATAAACCTAAAGCCTAAAAAAAAGAGGTCCTCATTGATAAAAATGAAAAATTAGACCCAAGCAAGCATCAGTATTAATCTTAATTGAAATCTGATGCAATCTAAGATATTCATCATGCCTTTGATCAATATCTTCAAGGCACACTTCTTTTTGCAGCTCAGAATTTTTTCCTTTTCCTTGTCTTCTAAAGTCACATGACCCCAATTTATTAATAGCTAGTATCAACAGAATAGCAGTAATAACTGCAAAATAACACAGAATACCGAAGTAGAATGGAAATGGCAGATCTGGGGCTAAAAGACCTGGGTTTGAGTCCTAACACTGCAACTCTCTGGCTGACATATCACACAATAACCTACTTTGAGTCCTAGTTTTGTCTGCTATGAAATGGGGGGACTAGAGCAACCAACGTCATTTGGTTATATTAAGAGAGGGAATATGCATGAAAGCACTTTTTAACCTGTAAAGTACTTAACAAAAATTAGATTAGCGTTACAAACACTTACCTCAGTCAATTTGCTTAAGTCCGCATGATCCTTGGGCAGTGCTACTGCATTAACAATCGATGTTTTGATATTTTTATTAATCCTTTCCACTTCGCTGAAAGCTAGAGGCTGAGAAGGCAATGCCTTCCAGGACATATTTTCCAGATGTGGAGAGGCATTCAAAAGAAGCCCATAGATCATTTGCCGAATGGGCAGAGATACTCTGTGGGCATTCGGTTGCTGCATATTTTCCACCTGTGTGTGAAGAATGGTCCTTCTTAGCACCAAAGCATCGCTGATGAAAGGAGACAGCTGGCCTTTGGCCAAAGCCACTAATACCCACTCTGGTAAGTCCAGATTCAGGGCGGCTGGGCAGGCGTAAGTACCATGCTGGAAAAAGTCCTGCAGCTTCACCTGAGATTGCTGGTATTCTTCCATGGAACAGCAGAGAATTTCCTTAACATTTTCACGATCCTTTTTCGGGAGATATTTCAGAACATTATCGAGTGCTTCAGCAGTGTCGGCAAAATGAGATAACCAATTCAGAAGTCCCAAAACTCGGTGGTGTCTCCTCCCCTTAGAACTGGTAGCTCCAAGAGGAAGACATACTTTACTTAAGAATGTCTCTATGATGGGCAGATTAATATGATCATTTCCACATAGCACCGCAAAGAGAGGTAGCAGAGCTTTATTCATATTGCTGAAGTGATGGCAGAGTGCATCAAGGGAAAAGCACTTGGCAGGGATATAGCAGTCTTGTGTGCCTTTGATAGTGTTCACATTTCTCCACTGAAAGCTATTCAATGGGCAAAACCCAGTTTTTAAGTCAAAGATGCAAAAGTCACTATCTGATGATAACACAGGGCAATTCCAATGATTAGCCAGTGTCATAATGTCCCTATCTGCTTCTGAAAAGCACTGGACAAAACACACCTGTAGCTTGATCAAAACCTGAATGAACACTTCCCGGATGAGTAAAGGACACACATACCCACCCCCACCAACAGAAAGGGAATGAGCCATCTGGATCTTTTCTCTTGCTCGATCCTTTAAAGTTTTAAGCTTTTTATCGGAAATGTCACATCCTCCATCTAATACAACATATGGACAGATATTACAAACAAACAGTGATTCAAAGAATTTTTGTGCAACATCTGCAAAAGAATCATAGTCCCCTCCATACCGAAGTTCCAAGTTTGAGCTGAAGCAGAGCCGATGGAAGAGAGCATAGCCATCAATGACGATTTTTGTGTCTCGCATCTTCAAATCAGTGAAGAACTCATTACTATGATCTTCCACAAAACTCATTAGTCCTCGAATACCCATGATGACTGAAGAATTTAAAACAACAGAACACACTTTCAATTGATACTGTTTACTGGGGACCAAGTCATCATTTCCAGTACGAAAAACCAACAGCAAATGTTATGAACAGTTCTTTAAACAGCACATATTAGGGGTTAGCATCTCAATTCTTACCTAGAGGCTCAGGCAGCACCAGCTAGCTGAGTGCATTCTCATTTTCTTTTGCTTTCCCCATGTGTGATAAGGCACAAATGCAATGGTTTCATGGAGTTTGATCTCTAGATAGGAATGGAGGCTGTTGATTTTAAAAGAAAATCAGTTAAAGCCCATTACTGACATACTAACAAAGACTACTGTGGATTCTGATAGTGAGATAGGTAACAGTCACCATTTTACAACACAGATTATTTGTGTAGGGTCAAAATAAAAAGTCCTAAGCTATAAAAATGATACCCTCCTCAATCTCATAATAAATCAGAGAGCACTTGGCTTCAGTTAACTAAAGTATGTAGGGTCAATGATACGCAACCAGTTTTTCTTTATTGACAGTCTGGGAATTTCTTTTAGGCCTTGGCTTGTTGTTGGGCCCAGCTTAACTGGCATAGTTTGAGTAAGGAAAATTACTGCTTCATGAGCATGGGGGACTTAACTCTCCAGTTTCACCCTGACCACAGGCTCTTTCCATCTTCTTGTCTTTGCTTATCCGGTTCAGTACCAGGAAAATCGTTCCTTATCTGGCTCACTTAAGTCACAGCATATGTGTTACTAGCTTTTCCTTTCGCCTCATGCTCCAGTATGGCTTAGTATGGCACTGTCTTTATTTAAAACCACGAAATTTTGTCAACCATGGATTTCTAATGCATTAATTTTGGTTTTTAAATATATTGCATTAAAATATATTTACCTTGATTACAGACTTTTGGGGCACCCTCTTGCATTTTGCGCGCCACTCAATTCACCCTAATTTTAGCCCTACCCTCAGCACTTTATCCGGCATAGCAGTCATTTATTTATGTCTTGCAAAGCTTTGCGTGCTGGATAGGAGAAAGGCTCACAGAAGGTCTGATGTTAGTCGTCAAACACAGGCCTTTATACATCACGCTACCACAACCCTCACAGCTCGTTACCCCGACCAGAAGAGGAGCCCACCTGCATCTTCCTCCCAGGGCACCAGCCCTTCCATTAAAAGACTGCCCCTGCTTGAAATGGCCGCACGTGAGAGTCCCACCTTAAGAGCGGGAACCGGAAGTCTCCGCGTATGACGTCACTCGGTTCCTCGAATCCAGTGATGCCAGGCTGCGCCGGGGGCCCAGGCTCTCCTGGGCCTGCAGGCACGATGTCCCTAAAGGCGGGCCGGGAACTAAGCTCCGAAATGGCGGCTGTCAGGGTAGGAAAGCCAGGCGGATCAGGCCTGATCGTCTTTCTCCGCCCACTTGGGTCGGTGCACACTTCCGCCTCGGAGACCGGCTCCGTGCAGCCTGGCTCCGGCTTCCCAGGATGCCCCGCGCCGTCTCCCTGGCAACGGCGCCCAACAACTATGCGGGGAGGTCTTGGAGCTCTGCCGCGCTGCTGCACCTACGTGAGACTTGCCCAACTTACGTCCCAGTTACGGGTGGGACTGTTGGCATGCCGCTTCTCCGCCCTCGACTCCGAAAGGTATGCGCTCCTCGGGGTGTGCCGGGCTCCCCGAAGCCGGGAAAAGTGATGGCTTCAGGCTGCCCCAGCTGGGATCCACGTCCGTGGGCCTCCGTACCCGCGATCTCTTCACTTCTCTCAGCTCCTTACCTCCCGGATCTGCTCCAGTCTCCGGAGAAGCGTGTTGCTGGCGCCTCCTCCACATACGTTAACCCGCTTGGCGAAAGTGTAATTTTTAAAACAAAGTTGAGGCAAGGAATGTTCGTTTGACCTTTAAAGTTAGCGTTCTACTTTAGCAGAATCTGGTGTCCAGTCTGCTTCCTCTCGTTTATTATTACCAGGGAAGAGAACTACTGACTTCAACCTGTGATAAACACTCTCCCTCCCTCCCTGGCCTTTTGCCCCAACCAGGCTAGTTTTACCTCAAAGGGTCAGTTTGCAGGAGGTAATCTCTCACCTTTCTCACGGTTCCCATCCAACTTTCTAAATCTTCTCTTCCCTCTTCTCACCACTCCCCTCGCCCCCTGCACCCCCCCCCCCCCCCGCCTCCCCCGCCTTGGGCAACAGTCGGCCTGCTGGACTCTTGTTTGCCTTAAGAAAATTTATTGAACACCTGCTCTATGACAGGAGCCAAGGATACAAAAGATAAGGTGTGTTCCTGGCGCTCAACTTCATTCACAACCTTCTTGAGGTGGGGGCGAGGCAACATTGACAACCGAACAGATGTTCTGGAATCTAGGACGTTCTGGAATCTAGACGGCAGGGGACCTACTAGGGTTGCTCTGTGGTTGCACAGAAGAGATGAATGGGATCGATGGCCTAAAGGTGGACTGGGGAAGGGGATTGCAGGGCTGAGTCTGGGAACCTAGTCCCGAAGTACTCTGTGGTCCAGGCCAGACTGCTTAGGCGACATGGCTGGGTTTAAAAGCTCATTTACAAATAGGAGCCATTGGGAAATTGGATTCTCAGAACTGTTCTGTCCTTCACTAAACACTAAACACTTCCCTAAAATACGGAAAATTACTGGGTGATCTGAAGGGTTCTTTTCAGTTGAGAAGCCTGTGAGTCCATATATTTTTCTTAACACCTTAATTTGGCCAGAAAGTAGCACTTTTATGGGAGCACAGAAAGCAAACAAAATATACATCTGGAGGCCTGCTCTTTAGTTGTTTTTGCAGTAGTAGACTTCACAAATGTTTTCTGTGATCTTGATAATCTGACGTAATTTTTTATTTATTCAGGGATTTTGGGGTATGGGCTCCAGCTTTGAAGTTTCAACGCAAGAGTAATGTTGTATGAGCACTGAGCCACCAGATGATTTGGTTTCTTTCTTCCTTTTTTTTTTTTTTTTTTTTTTGGATTTTATTTTTAAGTAATCTCCACACCCAACATGGGGCTCAAACCCACAACCCCAAGATCAAGAGTGGTGTGCTGTACCCATTGAACCAGCACAACTCCCCTCTTTTTAATTGTTTTTTTGGTTTTTTTTTTTTTGTTTGTTTTTTTAAAGCTCATTACTAGAATACTTCTCACTGGCATCCAGTAAAACTTAACTGATCAATGCATTATTTAAAGAAGAAAAATGCTGTAAATGGACATTTACTGTTTATGTTCTAATCCAGGGATTTTTGTATTTGTCACCACTATGTGAAGTTTGTTGATCATAAACCCCAAACTACACAGATAGCATCTTGTTTTATCATTAAACATACTAAGTTTTTGTCTTATAGCTTTGGAATGAAAACTTGACTCCAAGGCATAGACAGTCTTCAATTTAAAATCATGTTTTTTTAGATTTTTAAACAAAATCCACTTTTCATGATAACTAACAAAACATTTTACATTTTGATGAAGTAAAAGTGATTTTGCTAGGCATACAATCATATAAAACAGTTCTACTTTTCATAATCCTGCTGTACATTTATAGTTCCTTGAGGAACTATAACACATTTATATTTAGCTATCATTAAAATACAATTTATGGTTTGAACTGCATTTGTGATACTTCTTGTTTCCAATCCAGAGAGATTACTTTATACACAGTGTATATAATAACTTCAGAAACTGGACCAGAATTTGTTTAGGATGGGAAAAAAACTTATTCTGAAGTCTTTATTCTTCTTCACATCTATTCTAATAAATGCAAATACCATGGTTTAATGTCTACAGGAAAAAAAATTCTATGCTGACTTCTAGTTTAATCCTAACTCACTATTTGTTAATCAAAATAGACATAAGGTGGGAAGAATTACAAAAAGAGTGATGCAAATGTATAAATTTAAGGAAATTATAATGTTCTTATATTTGGATTTTTTTTTAAGCAGTAGGTGGGGAGTATAAATCTTAAACAGATTGTTTAATTCTAACTCACTTTTGCCATATTTAGCTGTCTTCTACTAGAATCTGCTAGTATCACTATCTTTCAACATTTTTCTCTCAAGTCATTAAATGTGATGTCATTGAATCCACTATTCAAGGTGCAGGTATTAATGTCAAAAACTGACACTTATTGTTAGGAATACTTGAGCATTCTTTGTACCTGATCTCTGGTCTTTTCACTTTTAAGGGGTTGACCAACACTACTTGGATGTATTTGGCCCATCTTCTAGGAGACTTGAATGTTAAATTTCTATAAACAAATAATCCAGTTCTCTCTTGTTTGGAGCAATGCTGAAATTCCAAGAGGCTGCTAAGTGTGTGAATGGATCAATAGCCATTTCTACTTATCCGAAGACCTTGATTGCAAGAAGATATGTCCTTGAACAAAAACTTGGTAGTGGAAGTTTTGGAACTGTCTATCTGGTTTCAGACAAGAAAGCAAAACAAGGAGAGGAATTGTAAGTAAAAATACTTCATACAAATTTTGAGTTGGATGCCCTGTATGCATAGCTCTTAGCTGATTAAGAACATGGAGTACCATTTGCTCTTTGCATTTAGGATTCTAAGAATTTAGTAAGTGATAGAAAAGCTTCTTGAATGGTGTCTTAAGATAAGATTTTTACAGGTATGTCAGCAGGTGAGTGAAGTACCTAAATGACCTAGAATAGGGAAATGGGGTAGATGAAGTGAAAATATCATTTTTATGCATACCAGAATCTCAATTACAACATTGCTTCCACTTAACTTGATTGGAACTTCTTGAATGAGAAAGTAAGAATTGTTTATAATGATGGCAATTTTAGAAATGTTATGAAATGCAAATAAATGGTAATTCACGCTTGAGGTGAATAGGGTGTACTAAGGGAAATATGGCATTAGGGTTTTTTTTTTTCTTCTTCTATGAAGGAATTTTTCTAAATCTGTAGTCATACAGCTCTCAAGTTAGACATTTAAACCAAACACAGGCTTCATCTAAAATTAGCTTAATAATATTGAGGACCCTCTTGTTACTTCCTTTTCTTTGATTTTGTTCAGACCCTTAAACTTTCATGGTAGAGAAAAACTCATAGTGCTGTTGGATGGTATGTCTGTTAAAGGTAATGATGAATCTTCCTTTCTAGCTTGAAGTTGTTTGAATTTGCTACAGTGAAAAGTTAGTTAGAACTGAAGTTCAGATGAGAAACTTATATATCAGAAACACAGGAAAAAGAGAAAGCAGAAGGAAGAATGATCCAGGACATCAGCCCTTAACTCCAGAAGAACAGACTTCCATCCCATAATCTATTCTTTTTTTTTTAGAATTTTTGAGGCTACTCTAAATTCTTTGAGCTTTTGCCCATTAGACTTAAAATGAGTGTGATAGACATTTTCTACTTCTTAATATTACATAGGAATTATAAAGGCAAATGTTGATGCTACTATTTTATTTTCAAAATCAACTTTTTAAATGGTCTCTATGTCTAGAATTTTAAGAAGTAATTATCTAGAATTTGTAGTTTTCAATAAATTCCTACATGAAGAATGGTGACAGCGCTAGCACTTCTCTGGTGTCCTTAGAGCATCCTTCATGGCTCCTATCAAAAAGAATTATTTTCCGTAAATCCTAGAGGTATGATACCAGCCATGTAGAACAGGATGATAAATTTCTGAAAATTACTAGAGCACCTTTATGGAAACATTGAGAGTGAGACCTAAATCTGACCCAGAACTAGTAAAAATCACATTGTAAATGATGTGGGACTACGAGCAAACAGTCAAGAAAGAATTCTTGAGACATTTTCAGTGCAAAAAGGTGCTTTTATTATAGCACAGGGATAGGACCCATGGGCAGAAAGAGCTTCACTTTTACTGTATGAGACTGGTGGTTATATGGTTAGTGTTCAAGGGGGAGGGGATGTGCAGGGAGTATTAGATCATAAATGTTTTCTTCAAATTTTTAATTGTTAAACTACTTTTGCAAGATTTCTCTGGTGCTTATCATTCAGCTTGATATTAATCATCAGTGAGATAAACAGGCAGTCATGAGACCCTTTATAAGAATGTAGCAACCAGTATGTATTTGATCCTTATCGGAA